CTGGATGGCAAAAACACAGAAGCTTTTGTCACGAGCTGACATGACAATGTTTAGTAATAAAATATCTGGTGAATGCCACAGTAAATAATAAAAAAAAAAAACAGAGGTTAACATGGGTTTGTATCTACAGTATGGAGTCAAAATGTATCCAAAGGTCATGCACTGATGTTGCTATAGGATATATTCACCTTAAAACGGTGATATATGGAAACATATCTTATCCCTGGGTTGGCAATGGTGTCGGACTCAGGAGGATGTCCTGCATTTTGAGGGTTTCAGGTTCAAACCCCACTTCCATTTGTTTTAGTCATTTTTGCAAGACACTTCCACCGCATTTCCAACTGATGGTGGTTAGAGAGTGCTGTGGCGCCTACAGTATGTGTGATAGTATCACTTTTGTCAGTAAGTCTGTAAGTCTTCTATAATGCTGTGTATGGGAGTTTCAGGTTTTCCTGTCCATCAAAAAAAGCAAGATTTGGCAATATTTTTTATTTAGATGAAATGGTATTGCTTGTTCTCATTATAAAAGAGCAAGAGCAGAATTTATGCATTTGTTGGTCAAAAACAAAATCAGCTCAACATTGCTGAATAATTAATTAGATCTATATCTCCCATGTGTCTACCTTAGCATATCCTAACAAATAACATATGGCTTTTTCTAATTCCAGGGAAAAAGGGATAAAAAGGAGGGTGGGAAGGCCATGAAATTAAGGAGAGCACGTTTGCAGGTAGGATGATGCATCACCTTTAAGCTTGGATGATATGTCATACTGATCCAGGTTTATTGTGTCATTAATCTTTGAGATAAATATGCCAGCAAAAAGTATACAAGTAATAGCCTCTCAGGTTCTGCACAAACTGAAATGCAAAATGTTAACTAAATAATTGAATTTAAAATATAAGACTATAATGTTGCTTGATTTTGGAACAGGTCTACTGTGGGTTTATTTTTAGTTTTTATTTTAGTTTTTTATACGAGTTAGAGGCGGATGCAACTCTTAATTTCTGGACTTATTATGTAAGAATTGAGACTGCACAGTGCAACGTACCAAGCAAAGTCTATTGTGTTCTGCTTTCATTCTGTTCGGCCACTGACAACTGTTTTATTTTTTAACAGGCCAAGAAAATTGCCCCCGTCGGTTAAGCTGACCTGGAATAATTTATTATTGCTACAGCTTGAATACTAAACCCTCAGACCTCCTATGCCACCCCGAGGACTCTACAGGTCTACACCCATATAGCTGTATTTTATTTTTTCCACATGATCCAGACAATAGTAATTTTAACAACTGCAAAAACTCAAGCAATCATAATTTTTTATTCTTATGAATGTTATGATTGATTACAGTATTTTAAATTTTTTTATTCATTATTATTGCTGAATAGAGCTGAATGACATAGACATTTATTGATATAAACAATATAAAAGACTGAAAACGATTGCCAGTAAAGCCCACAACATAGTCCTCTACAAACCTCTGAATTTTCCTATGCCCAGTCCAAAGGTTTAGTTTAATCTGGTTGTTTAGACAGGTATGGCTGAGTATAACCAGCATAACAGTGGATATTAATCCCATGCTGTCTAATAAGTCTCCGAATCGGGAGCATATATACAATAAAGAGAATTGGTCTTACCACTAATTCCTGTGGTACACCAGGAGGTTACTCCACAGGTAACCTCTGGAGCATGAGAAAGATGTATCCTTAACGTAAAAAAACTGAAAGATAAATAAGTTTTATATCAAATTAATTCCTACAAAATATTAAATTCTTTCTAAAATATTATTATGATCAACTGTGTCAAATTCAGCACTGATATTTAACAGGACAAGTACAGATACAAGTCCATTATCTGAGGCCATGAGAATATTATTTGTGACTTTCACGTGCTATGATGAGCTCTAAAACCTGGTTGAAACTCTTTAAAAGTTTCAATCAGGTTTGTGGCCAGGAACAGCTCTCGACAATTCCACAAAATATGCCATTCAGAACGCTACAAACCAGGCGTCGACCTTGTTTCTACGACTGCCATGGCCTGCTGGAGCTACGGTCACAAAAGGTTCTAAATGCAGCCACTCTTGACCATTTAAAAAGATGCAGAGTGATATGGACAAATGTATACAAAGCAGCAGGCGAGCTGAGCAGTCCAGGCCGATGAAAACGATTTCCTAGGTGGCGTAAGTGGGGCTGCAGGTGTGACAATCTCGGCACTGGCTTAATCCCCAACTCGACACACCTGCTCACTCTGACCTGCCTGCTATTATCACTAATTGGTTACGCCCCTATATATACCTCATCTGAATCTGTTCCCAGTGCCAGATCGTCTCAAACCAATGTTGAGTACCTTCCAACATTTGAATCTTTGCCTGCCTACCTGTTGCCTGACAAGTTTTCTGCCTTTTTTTTCACCGAGCCTGCCTGATCCCTTATCTGTTCCTGTCTGCCTGCCCTGAATCCAAACCAGATCTGCCTCTGGAATCCTGCCTCTGTTCTGCCTTGGATTGCCTGCCTGTGAGCCTGAGTCCCACTCAGTCAGTGAGTAACGAGTCAGCCTTTCCACTCTGCTTCTCTGAACTTATCAGTTAACGGACCCTGGGTCGGACCTGAACCTCTCTTCTGGATTGCCCCTCTGTACCTTTGCTTGGACCTGATCGCTGGACGGACTGTTTCTGGAGCTCGTCTGCCTCAGTCCTCAGCAAACCATCCGCTGCTCAACGGCCACTGCTTCCACAAGTCCCTTCCTCTTAAGAACTCCTGCCCCGGACCCTACACAGAGCCAATCGCCATCTCTGAGACCCAGTAATAGGTTAGTGATCCAGCCTCACTTCCTCTCTGGTTTTCCTGTTGCTGATCACTAACCTGTTGAATCTGCAACAGGGGATCTCCCCTGTCCCACACACTTATAAATAAAATCCTGATTAAGCCAATAAAACCACATCATCCGCAAATAGCAGAGACGTGATCCTAAGGCTACCAAAACGGATCCCTTCAACAAATTTGCTGCGCTTAGAAATTCTGTCCATAAAAGTTATGAAAGATTCTGTTCAGTTTAGATCCAATAACGTTAATTTTTAAGAATAGCTCAATAAATATTCTAAAGTAAATCTACTTGAAGCGCTAAGACATATCTAGAAATTCGGGGTTTAATGATACTTTCATTCCAAGCTCATTTAGCTTGAGATACTTTGCAAAGAAGCTTCTTGTGGGAATTTCAGCATCTTGAGAGCCAAGGTTCAGTAAGATTATCCAAAAAAGTTAACTTGCAGATGTAATCAAAGCTAAATATTAGCTTACAAAGTACAGACTTAGATGGTTGAAAACTAAAGCACATATTACATTTCAGTTTATTTATTTATTTTGTATTTAAGAACCCTTAACATCTATTTTGAATGCATTTCATCTCACAGTTGAGGATCAAATTTTGGTCTTTTTAAAAAAAAAAATTTATGCAAATGTAGACTCGTATTGTTTGGTGATGTGGCAAAAAGTGATATAGTTCCAGAGTTAAGAAGGCTTTTACAGTGCACTGTATAAACTATTATTGAAAGATTAAATCTGAATATAATCTTAGCATTTTTTTTATCTATTTATGTATTTAATTCTTTCTTTTTATTTATATCAGATGGCTTTTATTTTTTGTTTTTGTTCAATTAAAGGGTTCATTTGTTTTTACATAAAGGTAGTAAATATTTCATCAAACTATATGCTGATGGACCATTTCACAACCCCACATAAATGCAAAATCTCCTGGCTGTCTCTACATTCGAGTCTTCCAGCTCTCTTGGCTCACTCTACCTTTCACTATTTAAGATGCTTCACCATAACAGTGTATTCAGACTCCTTTACTATTCTTCATTACCCTCTGTCTGTGGACTGCTAGTGCCAGGGTCGCTTTGTCCTTGGCTGGTCCACACAGAGTCCAAGTTTTCTACTTTAGCTTTTGTGAGGCATTTGATGACAATCTTGGCGTGGAAGAGAGGAATATAATGGATCTATTATTTTGTTCTATTGACGGTGCTTTTTTTCTCATTGTAATGAAAGTCTGTTATTAAGTGCAAAAATAAGGATTTGAAGTTTCCAGTCCAATGGGGAGTTTTTTCATAAGCGCAATACTACACCTGCCATGACCAATTTCAATGGTGTTGTACCAACCCCAAAAGACAATCACACATTTTTTTAAAGCTATATAAGGATAATTTGGGCTTTTTCGTCTACGGAAATAAATTGTGTTAAAATGGGGCTTATTCTTAAATAATAAGTTGAAAGTCAGGTATAGGCGCATTGGAAAAAAACACAAGATAAATAGAAATTAGTAGACCATCTGGATATTTTAACCTTTTACTTTCCAAATAGAATGTCATTTCTCACTGCTCCAGGAATCTCTGATCATTTCTATTTAAGCTTTGAAATAAATAGACAGTTTTTTGTCTAATTCAAAAGGAAAATCTTGCTAAAAGATCTGATTTGCCACAGGTATGCAAACTAGGCAGACAGACAGACAGACAGACAGACAGACAGACAGACAGACAGACAGACAGACAGACAGACAGACAGACAGACAGACAGACAGACAGACAGACAGACAGACAGATAGATAGATAGATAGATAGATAGACTGTTTCACAGGTGGAAGGTGGAGGCTTGCACATTGTGCCATTCAAGTAAACAAGCCTCTGCTTTAATTGATTATTAACAACACAAAACGATAATCCCGCTTCAAAGTCATTTCATGTTTTGACTTTAACACAAACAATATCAGGCAGATCAGATGCAAGAGTCGAGATCACAAGGGTAACAGAAGAGCAAAGGCGCAATTGGTCATGGGAAGCTGAATTTCATGAGTGAGCGCACCTCCCCTCTCTTTTTATTTCCTTTTCCTCACTCCTGTCTTTTCACTGAGGAACAAACAGCCTCTGCTCGCTCTCTCTCTCTCTCTCTCTCTCTCTCTCTCTCTCTCTCTCTCTCTCTCCCTCTCTCCTCCCCCCTCTCTCTTTACGGAGGCAGTTTGCAATTCCTGCTCTTCATGCCAGAGCCTGCAGCTGTCTCGGTTGCGTCCCACCACCGCGGGTGTGGGGAAGCTTCGTAACGAATGGAGGAACAGGCGGCAGACTTTATTTTTCTTTCCCAGTACATATCCAGAGGATTTTGCAACTTTTATAACTATTCCCTGCATTGTATGGAGACTCAATGAAAGTATTTGGCAGCTTAGACACACTGTCTGTGTTTTGTCTGATAATTTTTTTTTTTGCAACTGAGAAAGATATAGGAATGTGGAATTCAAGTATCTCTCAACGGTAAGTGCCTTATATCTTAGCACAGATAAATTTAAGGCAAAATGTATTATTATTACCAAAGCCTTGTTGAAAACTGAATACAATCTATAAGATTAAATACAAAGTGTTTCCTCTATTTTTGCTTGATAGGATGAGCTTCTGCCCCTGAAATCATGACCACGTACATGAACCTGACCTCTCTGTTGAATGAAACCTCCCAAAAAGGATGCAACCTCACCAAGACAGGTTTCCAGTTCTACTACCTGCCCACTGTTTACATCATGGTTTTCCTCGCTGGGCTGGTGGGCAACAGCCTGGCTATCTGGATGTTTGTGTGTCACATGAGACCCTGGAGCAGTATCTCTGTCTACATGTTCAACCTAGCCCTGGCTGACTTTTGCTATGTCCTCTCTTTGCCTTTCCTCATCTTTTACTACTTCAACAAAACTAACTGGATATTCGGGGATTTATTGTGCCGGCTGCAGCGTTTTATTTTCCATGTGAACCTCTATGGAAGTATTCTGTTTCTCACCTGCATCAGTGTTCACAGGTACACCGGTGTGGTGCACCCGCTCAAATCTCTAGGCAGATTAAAGAAGAAAAATGCTGTCATTACCAGCGCCTTGGTGTGGTTGATAGTTGTCATAAGCATGTCACCAATTCTTTATTATTCCAGGACAGGTTTGAAGGGTAATAAAACCACTTGCTATGACACAACCGTTAACAAGGAGCTACCAGGTTACTTCATTTATAGCATGACTTTGACTGTCTTCGGCTTCTGCATCCCATTTATCATCATATTTTGCTGCTACGGCATGATTGTCAAGGCTTTGATCTACAACGACATGAACAATGCTCCCCTGCGGCAGAAATCTATCCACTTGGTCATCATTGTGCTTGCAGTCTTTGCTGTCTCATATCTACCCTTTCACGTCATGAAAAACCTCAACATGCGGGCCAGGCTGTACTTCCAGAGCCCCGACATGTGTGAATTCAACAACCGAGTCTACGCCACATACCAGGTAACGCGGGGTCTTGCCAGCCTCAACAGCTGTGTGGATCCTGTCCTTTACCTCCTGGCTGGAGATACATTCAGGAGAAGGCTGTCACGGGCTACCAAGAAAACCTCCAGAAGGGGGGATACTGTCCTTCAGTCAAAGAGTGAAGAAACTGCTCTTAACAGCCTAGCTGAGTATGTAGACAATGGGAACCGGAGGCACTAACTGTCCTGTTAGCTCCTGACACAGAGAGCTGGAGTAACGAAATGCACTGCGTAGACTAAAGATTATGAGAAACTGATTAGATGAATGGTTTGTAGGGATGTTGGATCACTGCTCCGTTATAGTCTGTGTTGACCAATGCTTGTCAACATTGATAAGCTATCGTACTGTACTGTATTGTATTGTATTGTAATCTGAATATTAGAGCCATCACTCTTCTTTTTTAATCAAGTAGTTTAGATTGCTTGCAGTTCGGTCTAAAAAAAGCAACAAGAAGGGCCTGACTAAGGACAAGGGATTGTCGGGCAGGCAACAACCTTTTGTTGGTCAACTTCCTCATGTATATGGTGTAGTGAGAATGCATCTTATTAGGCCAAAAGCTGATATTTAATCAATTCCTATTTAGCAAGTGAGAGATTATGTCTGATGAGATTTGGGATTGGGATGGCTTTTAGAAGTAAAAGTGAATGCACTGAGCCCTTTGTTGCTGAAAAGATGTGTGCCACAGACATTGTTATACACTGTGAGTAGAATATATCAGCTCTGCCTATTAATCTTATTTTTTTTCCTCCATCTATTGGTTTTGTAAGGGTAGAATGTGGTTAAATTTGAGGTCAAAGTGTCCGTAGGATCTTTTCACCAATGTTTTCCATTTGAACCATGTCATCATAAAATAAGGGTGATATCTGCAGTATTTTTGTATATCTGATGTGATAGTAGTTTTTCCAATTGTACTGTACAGGATGTTGTGACTGTTAAGTTTTCTTCATCCTATTTTTATTTATTTTGCTAATTTTGAGTATAATGTGCATGTGTCCAGTATGAACCAGTGACAGTGAAAAAGTGACTCATACCAACAAGTTATAACTACCCTTGTATTCATTGCAACATAGAAAATATTACTCATTAGGCCTCGCTTGCTTTGGAGCTTCACCAACATGTTAAAGATCTGTTTGTATGAGATACCTCAAGTGAATAGTGCACTGTGTTCGCTTTTAGCACATATTAATTTTTTTTTTATTTGTTTTAAATCTGTTGTAAGCTTTCCAAAAAAATCTTTCTTAAAATTTCTTTACATTTTGTGTAGATGTTCAAAGCCTACTAATTCCTGTGTTATAGCCCGTCTTCAGTATAAAAAAAGGAAGTAAATCTGCTGTGCAAGAAATGTTTGGTTTGATGCATTTTTGTTAATTTTATCATCTGAAGCCAAGTGTTTTACACTAGGATACAAGTACCACTTTTTTCGTACTTAAGTAGGCTTTAGTGGGGTTTTTGTTTGCTGACATTAACCAGGAATAAGCCAGGATGAGTTTCAGATAGTATAAAAAGCTTGAGTAAGTTACACCATTGTGATGTGTTCCCTATTGTATTAAGGAAACACTTTCCAAAAGGGAATTTGCATGATTTAGTTGATATAAATACAGCTATAGCTTGAGCTATGTGATACAATTATTCGAGTTATGTTATTGATTATGTAATTTGCTAAAATAATTTAATAGTTGGATTAATGATATGCTAAAGTATAACTACCAACATCCAATTAAGTGGTTATCATGTGTTTTGTTCAGATTATTCCTCCTCCTTTGTCAGTGCCTTCTCAAAAGCATATAACAGTAAAATAATCTTTTATTATCTATTTAACTGGAGATATGATCTTACCTTATCCAGCCATCTGTTGAGTACTTAAAGAAATTGTTGCTCAAAGTTTTTAAATTGTTTATTTTAAAGCATTTCATTGATAAGAATGATTGATTATGCTCCTTTAGTTTCTTTTACTGGACTGCTCATATTTAAGACTAGAAATTTCCCAAACATTCCAATTTGTCTCAGTGTAAGCAAGGGAAAAATCCAAGTTCCTTGTGTCCACCAGCTGGCCAGCCATTTACAGCTAAAGAGTCAGAGACAAAGCTGTGTTGCATCTGCAGCTAGTGAAAACTCCCGGGATGTTCATGGACCCTCATTCAAGGGCCTTTAAACTGCAGAATCTTTATGAGAATAAACTTTACAATTTTAGTGATTGTTACTTTTAAAACCTGGTGCAGTGTGTCTTGGTATTAGTCAGCATTTAAAAGCAAATTAGCAGGGGAAGAAAACAGTTGTTAAAGCACATATATCTTTATTTCAATAAGAAATTACAAACTGTTTATGAGCAGTGGAGAAGAGTACAAGACCTCACCTTGGCAAACAACACTGGACAAAGACACAACTACAGCTAACAGATATTTATCTCTTTACTCAAAATGCAGTTTTGGCAATGACAGTAAACACAAGCTTAGGGATGTTAAGGTGAAAATCATGGCAAAATGCTGTGTCATGACGAGCTTATTTCTGTTATCGAAGTTAACTTTTTAATACACAGTACTTTGTACTTAAACTTGCACTTGCTATATTTTGCACATATAGCAGGGGAAGTCCCAGTGTCTGGGGAGAAGTTCCTCTCCCCATACACCTTCTCCTGCTCCTCTAGGGGACGTCAGTGGTGTTCCAAGGCCAGCCGAGGAACATATTCCGTCTACCATGTCCTCGGCCTCCTCCTGGTGGGACATGCCTGGAATGAATCCTGAGAAGGTATCCAGGATCTCCTGGAGAACCAAGATCCTAACCTTATGTCCAAGGGAAAGGCCCACCGCTGTGTGAAATAACCTTATATCAGCTCCTTTTATCCAGTATCTCTATTCTTTTGGTCATGACCCAGATTTCACGACCATAGGTTTAGGAATATAGACTGACCAGTAAAAACCCAAACACAACCCAGACCTCTGTCAATCTCTTGCTCTATTTTCCTCTTATTCATGAATAGGACCCTAAGATACTTAAACTCCACTTGAAGCAGAAAATTGCCTCTGACCTGAGGAGGGCAAGCCACCCTTCTCCAGTCAAAAACCTGGACTTGGAAGACGGTGAACTTCATTCTTTGTGTTGTTTTGTATTAATACATTTCAGAAACATGTTTGCGAACATACTATTAATTATATATTGATGTAAAAGAAATTACTTTAATGAAACACAAGGTGCTAATTAGTGCATATTAAGGTATACTAGTATTTTAGTACTGCAGCAATCAGAACCTTTTGAACATTCAACAGCCATATTGGCTTTTTCTTCATCCTCAGAGAAAATCCTGTAGAGATGTTCAACTTGGAACTTAAAAATGAAAAGCAGAATTTGATAGTAGGTTTGTTTCCATTCCAATGTCATGCAAATGTTGGTAAAACTTTAAAAATGTGGGGAAAAACGAAAATAAAAATATGACATGCGTCCATCCATAGGACCCTGAGTGGCAATCCATGGGAGTTGGGCTTGAATTCAGAACCTCAGGATTCCAAGCGCAACGCTCTTACCACTAGGTAGCATGAAGGACATGACTCCTTCTTGCCCAAGGTAAGGACCCCCAGCTGGGAGTTCGTATTGCCCCCACCTGTGTGCAGGACGGTTGACTTACTAATTGAGCTAGCCACCAGCTGCTTAGTCAAAGTAGTTTTCACTACTTCACTACTTTTGAAGTTTAATAGGTTGATTTGAATTTTGTTGTTTCCATCAAGTTCTTCTAATGCAAAACTTCAAAACAAGCATAAAAAATTAAAGCACATCTTGTAACCTTAAGGCAAATATTCATGAAAGAACAGTGCTAGCTTGTTTTACTTATTGGAAAAACTAGAAGTTGCGTTATATTTCTACTTTACATAATATTCTTAGATGGTGGTGCTTGGAAACCAAATTTACTGAGCTGTACTTGTACAAACATAAAAATGGATCTAAAGTGTTGCAGGTTGTTAAACACCTGTATTTCTTACCTTTGCTGTTTTGGTCATTTTGCGCCTGTCTGTATAAAATGTTTCTATATGTTGCAGGATGTTTTTTTTATGTAGATTCCCAGCCAGGGGCGGGGTTGTTTTAAGTGTTATTCACACATAGGTCATAATTCTTACTTGCAGGAAATTGTTCCTTTAGTTACTTTACAGTGGTTATGGGGCCTAAGATGTCTCAACAAGACAAACAAAATTATGGTATTTCCAAATTGCAACTTTATTCTTCATATCTTACTTTAAAATGTGAACAAATCCCCGAGGGTTACAAACTCACACTGGAGAAGCTTTGTTCTCCTTTGTGCTCTTTGTCCAACTCTACCCCTACACTGCATTTGATTTTCTCTTTCAAATCAGCCAAGAGGAAGTGAAGGGATGAGGAAGGAATAAAGAGTGGCACCCTTTTCCTCCTGGCATAAACTTAGACAGCCTTAGCCTTTGTGACCATCACAACAGTGCGGAGCTCTTGATGCAGACAGGGGTGTGAAGCTGTTGCCAGAAGCCCACGGCTGCACAGGCTCAAGCCAACTGACTTTCCTCTTGAGAAAAGAAAAAAAAAAACACATGACTACAAACAGATTTGGATTTCCTTGCTTCCGGCTTCAAAACCACATTGGCTTCTCTGCGTCAAGAGCTCCTTCAGTCAATGTGGACCTAATTCTTGTAGGTGACCGTTATCTCTGTTTGTTTGGGGTATTTCATTTTCAAAAGCAGCTTTTGTGATAGTCACGAGGACTGTCTTTTATTTGTGGAATGCATGTACCCAGTGCTCTTTGCACATTTACTACATCAAAAGAAAACAAGATTTAGGGAATTCCAATATGCTTTTGACCTTGAGTGTTGAATTTTGAATTGCAGAATGTTGGGATATTTGCCAGTCTCTCCTCCCTCCTTTCTCTGCCACCTTTCACCTCTTTTCACTGACATGCTCCTCTAAGTATTCTGAATGCAACACTTTAAATGAGCTTTTGTTCACTGAACTTTGGAAAAAAAAAGTTTCAGTAACACATAAAGCACAACAAGGGAGAAGAGTGAGAGTGGTTGCAGCTGTGGAAAAAGTGTGTTCTCCTTCAGTGCACTGTTGGTCAAGGGGCGAACTGGGAAGTGACTATAGCCAGCACAGATAAATGAGATGCTGAGCTTTGTTCTGAGAGATTTACAGTGGATTCCTTGGACCATATCCATATCGATCGCAGAGCAACCATCTGCTGAAGACAAAAAAATTCTGCTAACCACAAAGGAACCACATGATCAAAACATTAATGTGTGGTCTGGGTGAGTAACTCAGAGTCCAAATAACCACCATAGGACCTCAGTAACATGGTGAGGAAATAAATTCTAATACGCTATTTAGCCACATGTCCCAAAGAAACAAATTCTCATTGCTGTGGTTTGATAATAGTTTCAGCTGTAAAAGAAGATAGGCTTAGACATGTCAATTTGTTATTGTGTATCCAAAATGTATTCAATGTAGGACAATTAATGAGCATATCAGTGGCTCAGTTGGATGTCATGTCTGTGTCTGTAAAGTTTTTGCCTAAACCTTTTTTTTTCCTTTCACAACAAATGATTTGAGTTTCACATAGAAGTTTGTTTGGTTGTGAGCTGCAAGACAAAGGCATTCTCTACATGGCAGCGTGTGTTGTTTAAAAGCCTCTAAATACATTATTCAGTTATAATGGTTTCCTCCCAGATGGGCAGGTTACTCTGTACTAATGCACCCACATACCATCGAGCCCCAAATAAATTATTCTTTCCTGTCTAGGATGAGGCTTATGGCCACGTCTTGACTTCAGGAAAGAATTGCATGCTTTAAATGATACCATCTAAAATCTCCTCGACTCCACTAATGTATTTAGAAATGTAAGCAATTTTTTTTCCCTTTTTGATTATTTTTGCTACCATCATGGTAAAGATAAAGCACCTTGATAAAGAAATTATACTAACTTATTTTCATTTGTTTCATCTTCTAGTCACCAATGTTAGCAGGTGTCTTGTAGATTTTATCTGATAAACCAGCACAATGTGTGGAAAAACTGGGATGATAAAGAAATAGCGTTTATGCTTGCTCCACTTTATCTTTAATATTTAAAGAACATTTCTTTGTAGCTATTTCTACTCATTTGTCATTCTAAGAATGAAAACTTTACCCACCTCAACTGCAAAAATAATCTAGCTCAGTAAGAATAAATGGACATCATCGGTAAAGGCCAATTCTTAAGTATTGTAGGTTCTAAAATCTATTTGGATTTCAACTTTGACTACGTTATTTGACATATGAATATGCTTTCATCCATACCTTTGCCTTTTCTACTCTGGTTGTAGGTGTAGGGTTGTTGACCTGATGGACAAGGAACCT